GAAATGAATTCTTTATTTATCGAAATGGGTCATTTAGGGTTGTTCCCCTAAAGCGTGTAGATACGGCGGGGGTTTTTCAGTCCATCATAAATGTGACATGCTAGGCCCTGACATGCTAGGCCTGTGGATATGGCCGGGCGGCAATGAAGCTGGGCGGTAGTAAGGCCGGAGGGCCAGCAAGTCAGGCGACAATGTGGCTGGGTGGCCGTTAGGTTGAGCGGCTACTTACTGAGGGTTCATGTTAATCCCTCTGGAAGTGAGATCCATCTCACTTTCTTGGTCTATTCGTGTTTGAAGACGTCAGATCGTTCGAGTTGGTCTAATCAGATCGATTCTTTGAGGGGTGATCTACACTTTATCTGCCTGAGGGGCAACATCTTCCCAACAAAAGGAGGCTGGTTGGTTGAGCTAGAGATCCTGAGTCGTCTTCGAATAGGTCCTGCAAGGCAACGTCACCAATTCCGTCAGCCGTCAGCATGTGATATCCTTTTAATTTGTGTTGGCACATTTTTTATTTACATTTTGACCTATAGTATTTTAGAGATTGGTACAACTTGATATACTATTGCCATATGTGAGCATGTGGTTGAGACAAAAAAATGGTTGAACTTGTGAACAACAAAAGTATTTTAGGGATGAGATAAAATGAGATAAGTTTCGACACATTTCGTAAAAGACTCTTTCAAAAGCATGTAGCTTGTTGTTGGTATTCATTGGATTTTTTTTTGGTTTACAATCGAGCATTCAAGTTTCTTTAAAACTTTATTGAGAATATTGGCATTATGATAGAATGATCCCTATGCTAGATTGAGCAACCTCAAGCCGTAGAACATATTTTAGATCTCGTGAATCAATTAGTTGAATAATGTTTGAAGGAAAATTTTCAGGAATTGAATGTTACTCTTTGAATGTTTTGTAATAATAATATTATCAACATAGAAAAATAAGACAAAGAAATTCAAACATATTCTTGTTTTGTAATAATAATATTATCTACTTTGGATCGGTGGAAACCAAAACCATTTAAAGAGTTGGAGAATTTAGAGTACCATTGTCGTGTAGTTTGCTTGAGACCATATATAAATTGAATCAATTTTTCTCAATTGTAATTGAATGAAACCAAAACCTTTTTGTAATTGAATCAACTATTTGTAATTGAATCAATTTTTTCTCAGACTTTTTGATAATTTTAAATTTTGACTGCTGTTAATTATCATTTGGATTTTGAAGTCAATAAAATGTGTCTTTTCGAAATGTGCCTTTTCGAAGGCAATGTTATGTTTTTTAATTTCATCAATTTTTTAATTTCATTAATTTCTTAAATCGTTTTGATTTTGCAATAAAAAAAACTTTTGTTTGTTTAATCATTAATGTGAATGTTAGAAAGCAAGGTTATCTTTACATTTTCGCATTCATTTCTGTAGCTTATAATATGAACAATCCTTTTGCTTTAGATGATTGCTTTGTTTCAAGAAACAGTTGCATATGATCTTTAGAATTGGTGGTGGGTGCTAGAAGAAAAGATTCAGCTTTCAGTTTGGAAATATGAGACTCGAGATGAAGTGTCAAAAGAATATGCAAAGTTGGACATGTTTACATAAAATATAAATTTTGTGACAAGTGAATTTCTGGTGGTGCTTAGAGACTTAAGCATTACTTGATTTGCACACATTTAAATGTTGGAGCATGTGAGAAAGTGTTAGATGAAGTAAGAAAAAAAATGCTTTCATTTTTTTTCAAAAAAATATGGTACTTCAAAAGGAACAACACAAAGAAACTTAGAAGAGAAGACATAGAAAAGTTCATATTTTCTGTTCCCAATATAATGGTTCCATATGTGAAAGTCAAGATATTTAATTACATGACTCATTTCTTCTATTTATAGTCACTTTATCCCAATGTTAGTTATGCTTTGAAGACCACGAGACCTTTAATATTTATTGTGAATGTGAATGAAATATCTTTTGGTTGAGGAACTCGAGGACCAATGACTATATTTATTGCGAATGTAAATGAAAATGAAAATATCAAATCTCAAATAATTTATCGTCGTGCTTCTACAAAATAATATAGAAATAGAGTATGCTTAGATATTGTAAGATGCTTTTGTGAGAATGGAATATCATTTAATGTGATTAGGAGTCCTTAATGGATCAATATGCTTTGTTCTATTGCAAATTATGGGCGAAGGCTACATCTTCCTAGCATGCATGAGGTGCAAATTTGGATGTTGGATGATGAGATTAGAACAATACCAAGAATGGTTGATGATGTAAAAAGATACAAGTAAAGATAGATATTACTATAATGTCAGATGGTTTGATATCAAATGAAGAAGTACTATAAAATTTTCTTGTTAAATTTTTTTTTTTATGGGATGATATTTTTGAAATCTGTTGATACATCGACCTTTGTAAAAGATACACAATTGCTATTTAAAATGCTTCATGAGTTGAAGAAGTCGGGGAGAGTATAGTTGTTCAAGTTGTTATGGATAATGCAAGTGTTTATAAAGTTGTGGGAAGAATGGTGATAAAGAAAATGAAGCATCTTGATTATACTCCTTAAGCTGCTCAATGTCTTGATTTATTGCTTGAAAAATTGTGAGAATTGCCACAACATAAATATGTTTTTCTTAAAATAAAGACAGTAAGTAAATTTATTTACAACCAATCATGGGTAACAAGTTTGATGAGAAAATTCACAGATAAAGAACTTATCCAACCAACAGTAACAAGTTTTGCCATGACTTATTTGATTTCACAAAGATTTAAAGAGTTGCAAAAACCTTTGGATGCTATGTTTTCTTTTAAAGAAGTGATAGAAATTTTTGGGAAATAAAAATAGATGGAAATTAAGTGAGGGAGACTAATATGAGAGATGATTCATTTTGGCACAGTGTTAGTTATGCTTTGAGGACCACAACACCTTTAATAAAAGTATAATGAATAATTGACGATGAGATGACTATTGTTATGAGATTTATTTATGAAGCTACGTACAAAGCAAATGAGAAAATAACAAAAGATTTAGGAGAACAAGAAGCGACTTATAAAGAAATGTGAGATATATTTGATGGTAAATAGAATGGTCAGCTCCATCAACATTTATATGCTAATGCATTTTATTTGAATACTCAAATTCATTATGACAACGACTTTCATATGGATAAAAAGGTTGAACCGATTTATATGCATGCATGAATAGAATTGTCCTTAAATCTGACTATTTTAAAATCAATGATCAACTTGAAGCTTTTCATTTTGAAGAATGGAATGTTTAGATTTAGAGCAGCTTTGGCCTGTTAAAAGGCATAACTACCTATTAAATTTCATTTTATTTATAATTTTAAATATATGACTTTATCATTTACATATAAAAATATTGTTTTAATAAATAATACTAGTTTTATTTAATATTATGCTATAATGTTGGTGAGCACAATTTAGAGATGACCTATCTTATTTCAAAGCATTTGTTGTGAAAGTTCTTAGTCTTATTTGTTCAACTTCTCCATATGAGCATAATTGGAGCATATTGAACCAACTGTATGCAAAGAAAATAAACAGATTGGCTACATTTTGAATAAACAAGTTGGTTTATGTTTTATTTAATAACAATTTGGAAGATAAATAATTGAAACTACAACAACAAAGAAATGATGGTGATGTAATGTATTCTTTGCTGATGATGGTATTATTTCTAATGATGAATGGATAATGCCTAAGAATGCTGAAGGATTTGAAGTTGAAGATGAAGGAATGACTTTTAATGATGATGATAATGAAGATGTTAATGTTAACATTGAAATGGGCCAAAGGGATTTGAATTTAGTGCAACTTCTACTTCAAAATCATTTAAAAGAAAGAAACAAGTTGAGGCTGGAGCTTTAAAAAAATTTAAAGGTTATTCCATATTGATTACTTTGCTGTGTTACTAATCTACTATTTTATTAAAAAATACTTTAAATTCAATGTTAATTGCTACAGAGAGTAAAATTAAATGTATGATAATTGAAGAATAATTTGAAGATGATATCACAGAATTTGAGGATGATAGACTTATAACATAAAATTATTCTAACAAAGATGATGAAAATGATGATGAGACCAATGCCAATGATACCACTATGTATTACAATTCTTCAGACATATTTAAATTTTAAGTTTAATGTTCATATATTATTTCAATTTTTTGCACTTTTACTATA